AGAAACTCTTCTCACATATACTGCTGATATCAAACATTAAGAACTAGTAGAACTAGTAACGGATCTTGTCCAAACTAGTATGATGCGCAATCGGATAAAGATATAAGGTCGAAAATCGAAGTCGTATATCATACAATAATATGCGAAGTGTACAGATGGACTCCCACAATGTCTACCAAAATTTAATATCTCCCGTAAAGTATATTCGATTATCCAGACGAACGAGTCGATATTATTGTCCCTTGATATGTCCCGATAATAAGCTTATGTTCTTATCAGTAACAAGACAGAAATAAAATAAAATAAAATAAAATAAAATAAAATAAAATAAAATAAAATAATAAGAGGCAACGACCTTGATGGCAAAGAGAAAACTAATGTGTACCCAGAAGAAGTCTAATAAAGCTTGAAGTAAGATCCACACACAACTGTCATCATTACTTTATTATCCGTTTAATAAGTAAACTGTAAAAACAATTACACCATTCCCGAAATTCCAAGGATAGGCACATGTTGGCACTAATTTGCATATTAAAAATTTAATTTACATTAAATCAGTCAATAATGTAATTGTATTTATATACATGTATATCATCGCACATATTGTTAAGTTTGAAAAGCATATCTCACCTGGTAGTGATGTCACATTCGCATACAGATGAGCTCCTATTTTCCTGGAACGCCAGCTGTTCAGCATTTTATGTACGTCCGAATCAAGCAGAGTTGCAGAGGCTATAATAATAATAATAATAATAATAATAATAATAATAATAATAATAATAATAATAATAATAATAATAATAATAATAACAACAATAATAATAACAATAATCATGACCATCATGAATTATGCACTAAACTACGACGAGTTTCAACGAGAATTTTTCAGTCTGCATTCACATGTACGTATTTTCCTCCGAGTTGAAAAATGAACGAGATAACGTCTTTTTGATTTCGACTGTTTGATTTTATCTTGTCCGTCCATAGGTAATAATAATAATACTTCGTTCACTTCCTACCTGCCCATCCCCTTTTTGTAGCTATTATTCAAAATTCAAATATGACTGCTTAAGGTAAATGAAAATTATCATAATTATATAGGTAAAAGTTTCAAATAATTAAATGTAATGTTACATACGGTAGTCATTGTGTATCCATTGCCTGTTTTATAAGGATATTATTTAGAAGTTTGTTTTACCTTGACTTTTGTGACTCTCCGCTAGCATCTGTAAATGAAATATAACATTATAGATTCTCTTTGAGATCCTAAATATGGTTATTCTATTTATCAGAAGATGAACAAAAGGTAAGTATGTATCAGTATATAAGGGTCAAACTGGTTCTCTTTCTAGAATCCTTGTTTTGTCTCATCTCTTTCTATATAAAAGATTTCTATATAAAAAAATACCAAAAGAACAACTAATCACTTTCCCAAACCAATGTTGTATCACAATGGCATGTATTTTCATCACAAAGTGTAGGAACCTGTTTTTTGATACAAAATATATTACTTACTTCTGGACAGTGTTGATTACTTGACGTACTGGTTTAATTAAATTCAAGAACCATAGCTAAAAATTGTTTGTGCGAGGATATAAGCAAAGCAGAAATATATTCTATAAGCTCGTATGTATTCATTGAATGGTGCGATACATCTCTTCCTGAAAAGCCTTTATGTGAATCCATAATACAAGAGAGAGAGAGAGAGAGAGAGAGAGAGAGAGAGAGAGAGAGAGAGAGAGAGAGAGAGAGAGAGAGAGAGAGAGAGAGAGAGAGAGAGAGAGAGAGACTTACAAGCAGAAAAAACTTTTGGATGGCGGCATTTTTCACGCAGCAAACTTGATACCCACACGATGAAACAACATCAAAGAGGGTTTCTTCCACAGTCAAATTTGACCCTAAATAATCACAAGGTACGCACACTAAGTTCTCGAATATCTCTTTTGGTAGCTGCTGTATTGCACAATTTTCTTCGTTGTTCTCAATATTTTTTCCACCTTTTGTAGCTAAAAGTGCAACGGCTATTACGAGCGCAATGTTTCCCACGAATGAAATTGACAGGCATATATGAATATTATTCGGTCGTAAAACTTTTGTAAGAAGTTTGCACCTCTCTTCCATTTTAATATTTTGAGAACTTGCTTCGATGGTAACCGAGTTACATTCCACTGCGAGGCTGTTTTTCCCATTCGACTCAAGACTTGGTTGGCACTTATCGTTAATACCGACAAAAGAATCCAAAGACTTATCCTCAGAGCCACACATGTTAGTTTCCTCAACTTGAAAGTGACAACTACAACCAGTCTGGTGCTCCTTTCTTTTCAACAACATGGTTCCGTCCTCTATAACTTGTGGTATGTTTGAATGACTGGGTATGTCCTTTACGTTTGACTTCTCGGCAGTTGTGCTCAACATTTTCGTTTCTTCGAATCAACAGTGGTCAATATCCTACGAGTGTATACATTTTCATTTTCAGACTGCAGCCTAGATTTGGAATGTATGTCTATATTTATAAGTGTCTTGCAAGAGAGGTAATAAATGAATGCTGTAAAGACTATTTTCGTCTCAAAGTTTCAATTGCAAATTTGCGGACATGCACTTACAATGTTCTTGTAATTGTGTTGGTTTTCTATTAATTAGGATACAATATGTATAAGCATATATTGTAATACTTCTATAAGTGCATTATATCTGAAATTTTATTGACTGCAGGTTATATGAAACAGTTCCTGCGCTGAACTGGTTACAACAAAATCGTTACTTATTCTTGGCTGCACATTATTTCCTGTTCCAGTTAGATATATATTCAGTTGCCCACATATCATTAATACCTCTTCGTGGCTTTTGAATTAATGTTATTCTTATGGCTATTATTATTAAAAAGACAATGAGTTTAACCATAATTTAAGATACGACTACAGCACTTTATTTACGAAATTGTTCGCGTTCTCGCCATTTTATTATTAAAATTCAAATCAATAAGGCGCGATATCTTCAATTTCAAAATTAATACTTCTTTTAGATTCATAAGTATGTAAACGTTCGTAAACTTTAATGTTTTTTATGTATTTGTTTTTTTATTATTGGTTCTGATTTTTAATATGCCTTGAGAAAGACTAATTGAGAGTTGAAAGCGCTAAGATTAGTTAAAATATTTCAGATATTCCATAGTATCGACGCACGCAAGTGTTCTTGATTGGATCATCCTTCATTTCTTATTAATATCAGTGTCCCAGGTGAAGTTGTTAAATTGTAAATTGGAAAGTGAAATTTATGTGAAATTGATGTTCAAATTCTTTGATTTAGCCAACATACTTGAGAAAATTGAAACTACAATTGTTGCATAAACTTTGTCGAACGTTTTGATTACACCGGAAACATTTGCAGATATAGCAAGGAATTTTACATCAACAAATATATCGTCTTCCATATATTTATCATGCCTAAAGTTTCTTTCAACCTTTTCTCTTTGAGAACGAAGACTTTTGCTTAAAAAATGGTTTTACCTTCAATTCATTCTTGTATTCGTCCGTCAAGCTTGCGATCCGCCATCCGCCATAGAAATTCATTATAAACACGATATCATCAAAGAATAAAACTATAGAATCATTTCTAATTATATTTTTCTCGGTGTGCATTAGCACAGAGAGAGAGCCTATTTATATATTTTTGGATGAAAGTGGGCGGAATTAAGTCTGAAATGTAAAACGCACAGGGTTTATATGATATTAAGTTGCACTGGACCACGCGAGCGAGGTAGACCTGATCTTGCGTTACATGTTTACATCGAGTGATATTTATTTCAATGTTTGGCGTCAGAAAGTTTTATCTACACAGTACTGTACTATATAAAGGTTGATTCTAGAGAATCCATAATGATACAACATACATCAGTCTAACTTCTATTGTAAATATAACAACCGTCACATTTGATTCCTTGCTATTTATTCTTACCCCAGAAAAGTACTCTAGAAATAACTAAATTCCGTTGAATACAAAATTGCATGCAAGAAGCCATCGGTGATTACAATTCACGCCGATTGGGTACAGACTGCCAACTTGGTGTAATACGATGTTTTATACAATGAGGATATCAGCTTGTTTTGAGTAGATATAGGAACATATTTCAAGAATGAAGTGACAAAATATTATTATCATGAGCGCAAAAGTCATTAGTGACGTCTATACAATATGCTTCCACTTCACGAGTGATGAAATGCTTACAATGTTCTATTCAAACTCGTGTATTTTGTCAGATCAATGATTCTTGATACGAAAATGAAGAGATTTGCATTCTCCTTAACAGGTTTCTTACGCGGAATTATATAACTGTATTGTTTTGAGGCTAGTTCCGAAACCGATGGTGACAAAAATTTCTGAACTTTTCATTCACACAATCAGTTACAGATCGGTAGAAAGTGTAAGACGAGGTGCGCGGTGTGGTTGTGATAAATACAAGACTATTTTTATTATGTTTTCAGTCTATGGAACAGAACGTGTTTGATATTACATATAGATATGTCGGGGCCGGAGGGCCTCAAATTATCCATACTCAATATAAAAATAGTTCATTCCACCGACACAGAACTAAACACGCGTGTGTGTGTGTGTGTGTGTGTGTGTGTGTGTGTGCGTCCTCTCGCAAGTTCATATGTAAAGACACGTCTTGTCTCTTCTTATAATGTTTGGATATTACGGTAGAAATGTGGATTTTTGTGTCTTAAATTTACTATAAAGCCTCGGTTTCACGGCGTGTTCCTTATTTGTTGATCGTCACTCATCAGTTCTATTCAAACTCGTGTATTTTGTCAGATCAATGACTCTTGATACGAAAATGAAGATATTTGCATTCTCCTTAACAGGTTTCTTACGCGGAATTATATAACTGTATTGTTTTGAGGCTGGTTCCGAAACCGATGGTGACAAAAATTTCTGAATTTCGGCATTGAATCAACTCATCTCTTTCCGATATTCCGGGAATGTCCACTACCGGACCGCTTTGTTGGCCTAGTGGTTAGATCGTCCGCCTCGAATGCGGGAGGTCGTGGGTTTGATCCTCGGCCGACTCATACCAAAGACTTTAAAAAAATGGTACTAACAGCTGCCTCGCTTGGTGCTCTGCATTAAGAGATTAGTGTTAGGACTGGTCGACCTGGTATCAGGATAACGTGACTGGGTAGGACATCGCGCTACATGTCTGCTGTATGAAGCCGCATTGCTAGACATCACTATAAACTGCCACACTACAGACATCGTAGCTATATGACTGAAAAATTGTTAAAGCTACGTTAAGAATCTAAATCACACACACACATACACACACACACACACACACACCCTTCCCGATGTTCCATCTTTTTAACTATTTTTGTGTGTGATGAAAAATCGCTACTTAATTAGTTTCTATATTTAGGCATTAAATTTTGTTTTTCTTACTAAAATCTTGAACCATTTGTCATAGGTATGTAATAAGTATGCGATACTGTATTAGTGTCACTAAAAATAGATTAGAAATAGGTCATGTGAGTTTAGTCACCGACAACTGGCATGGTTCATATGGAAAACTAATTTATTTGTATCCTTTTTGTGCGAAGTTTCATCTAGATGGGGTGGGGGGAACAGGAAGAAGAAAACTGGAATAAGCCTAAATATTGAAATAAAATTTGAATAAGATGTATAAGAGCAGACAAATTTCATAATTTGGAAAAATAGAGTCCCAAAAGTGATATCGCTCTAGCGTGATTCTCGTGTGTGATTCTCTCTCGCTGATACATTTCAATCACAAAACAACTATCACATGCCCATTTTAACTTATTTGTTTGATGTGATGTGATGTCCGTATCGTACACACAGATTTGTACTACTTTGGTTCTTCTTTAACGTCCACATGTCAATATTTATAGTAAATTGAACTTTTCATTCACACAGTCAGTTACAGATCGGTAGAAAGTGTAAGACGAGGTGCGCGGTGTGGTTGTGATAAATACAAGACTATTTTTATTATGTTTTCAGTCTATGGAACAGAACGTGTTTAATATTACATATAGTTATGTCGGGGCCTGAGGGCCTCAAATTATCCATACTCAATATAAAAAAATAGTTCATTCCACCGACACAGAACTATACACGCGCGCGCGCGTGAGTGTATGTGTGTGTGTGTGTGTGTGTGCGTCCTCTCGCAAGTTCATATGTAAAGACACGTCTTGTCTCTTGTTACAATGTTTGGATATTACGGTACAAATGTGGATTTTTGTGTCTTAAATTTACTATAAAGCTTCGGTTTCACGGCGTGTTCCTTATTTGTTGATCGTCACTCATCAGTACGACTGGTTCAATTAATACAACGCATGACAAAAATCAAAAGAATTAATTTTGTTTGCAAAGAGGTCATGAAATGCTTGTTTACCAAATTAATCATCAGATAAATATGTCTTGTGTTTGTAGGCTGCATATTTAGACATACGTCACTCTGTTTTTCTACTTTCTCTTTTTGTCCTGCGGTGTTTCCACTGATTAAAGAATTTTAATATTTTGAAAGGTTTCAGTTTAATTAAGAATTATCCACTGTGTACAAAGACACTGGGGAAAGAGTACTATGCTTTTGACTATGGTACAACCCAAATATAATATATACATTTTCTTATTTTGTATAAGTATGTAAGTTGATCTAGAAGGATATGAAAACAGAATATGCATGTCTTATATACTTTTCAAAAGTAATGACTTCAGATGTAGATGAGACTATCAACCCCGGCTAATGTCGTGCATACTGCAGATTCATATGAACCCCGGCTAATGTCGTGCATACTGCAGATACATATGAACCCCGGCTAATGTCGTGCATGCTGCAGATACATATGAAACCCAGCTAATGTCGTGCATACTGCAGATACATATGAACCCCGGCTAATGTCGTGCATACTGCAGATACATATGAAACCCAGCTAATGTCGTGCATACTGCAGATTCATATGAACCCCGGCTAATGTCGTGCATACTGCAGATACATATGAACCCCGGCTAATGTCGTGCATACTGCAGATACATATGAACCCCGGCTAATGTCGTGCATACTGCAGATACATATGAAACCCAGCTAATGTCGTGCATACTGCAGATACATATGAACCCCGACTAATGTCGGGCATACTGCAGATACATTTGAACCCCGGCTAATGTCGTGCATACTGCAGATACATATGAACCCGGCTAATGTCGTGCATACTGCAGACACATATGAAACCCAGCTAATGTCGTTCATACTGCAGATACATATGAACCCCGACTAATGTCGTGCATACTGCAGATACATGAAAACCAAGTTAAAAACTGCAGATTTTTACCTGCCAGTAATTTACTTCTCAGAAACCCGACTAACTGCAATATTAAATGGTCCTACATTTTCTTCTAAGAATAAAACTAGAAGGAAAATCGCAATACCTAAGGAAATCGTCCGATTACGTAATGTAATGTATCCAAGTGCAATACCTCTAGATTCTCTCAATTTTTGTCCTACGTATGCATGATGAATAATGAAACTAGTTTACGCAGAATATTTGCTAAGTGAAAATCTGCCTAATGAAACGAACGTAGTTGTTCTTTGAACTAGAGTTAACTTTCGAGGATTCCAAAAGAGTTTTTGTTTTTAGATTGATTTAGCACCATAAACTGAACGTTCAAAACCACGCTGAACTACAATGCATCTCCGTCACTAATTCCGGCTCACTTGTATAATTTTAAATATTTCAAATTTAGAACCGACATCCATTATTTACGATGTCAATCACTTTGTACCTTATACAGAGGTCCAGGGGATGTGATTCATTATGCGTTACATAGACAGAATGTCCTTTATCCGTGAATAAATATGTATGATTCATGATGAATCAATTATTATGTACAATATGAATGACATTAGCAAATTGCAGGTTATCATATTGGCATTTAAAAGAGCAAAATGTTTCCGACCTTGTTAAATTTGATTGACGCGGTTCCTATTTGCTTCAAAAGTCAGAAACCATTGTATGATTGTTTATCTATTAAATGCTGAAGATAAATTTAATCCAAGCCAAAACAATATAAGCTTGATGAAGTACTACCGCCCCTTGTTCATCTTTTCCCAAAAATGTGAATCTATTGGAAACACATTTGCCATAAACAGAGCAAGAGTTTGTTTCCATTGATGTAAACGTTTCCTTCCTATTTTAGTAAACATCCCCACATTGTTGTTTCAATATGCCTTATATTAGCTCAGCAATTCGCAATTGACAGTTTTCTTTGCTATATATTTCTTAGATGTACACTTTGCTTTCTTTCTGCCTTTTCAATGCAGAATTCATTTTATTTTCACTTTTTCTTCTTTGTTTTTGTTTCTCTTAATTTCATATATATCTTTTATTTTTCACATTTTCACCACATCTTGAAATCCGTCATATGTATTGACGTGATTGTATTTGAAACTAGCTTTAAGTACTTATTGTAAACAAGTTTTTAGTATTCATTTTAAACTAATGTTTGGTGCTCATTGTAAACTAGTTTTTAGTACTCATTATAAACTAGTTTTTAGTACTCATTGTAAACTAGTTTTTAATACTCATTGTAAACTAGGTTTCTAGTACTCATTGTAAACTAGTTTTTAATACTCATTGTAAACTAGTTTTAGTACTCATTGTAAACTAGATTTTGGTGCTTATTATAAACTAGTTTTCAGTACTCATTGTAAACTAGTTTTAGTGCTCATTTAAACTAGTTTTTAGTAATAATTGTAAACTAGTTTCTAGTACTCATTGCAAACTAGTTTTTAGTACTCATTGTAAGCTAGTTTCTAGTACTCATTGTAATCTAGTCATGTCAGGCATCTTTAAAGTAATCTTTTTTTCTGATTCTTATTTATTTGTTTGCGAATTCCCTACTTTGCGTGTAAATAGACGGGAAGCGAAGAAAATTAAACGAGGAACAAAACAAGATTATTACAGTAACTGCACAAAAGAGTAAAGATTGCCATACTGTTGAACTTGGTAAAAAAAAACTTAGACAAAAATATGTAGGAAGTAAGCAAAGCCGAAGCTGAACGTTTAAAGAAGAAGAAGACTATAAGAGACAACAAGATACGAACAGTGATACGAACAGTATGCCTTCTGCACACCCACTTGAAGCGGCTACAATACGAAGTGGACAAACGTTACTAACTCTACTGTTTAATTGGCGTTTTAGATCGATGGATCATTTAGTCAAAATTTTCAGTTGTTTTCTACAAGAGTACGAACATCAGAACAAACAGGGAACAAAATGATAAAACGTTCTCAACATATAACTCGATACATGAGATGCTTTAGATTTTCAGATCATACATATATTTTACCTATAGACGTGTATCGAGCGAATAGAGGCGGGGCAACACATTTGAAAATATATTCACATTTATTGCGCCGAGTTGTTATCAAGGAGTTTACAACATCAGAGAAATACAGAAACAAATATCGAGAACATACTAAATGTTATTGATATTCAATGTTCATTTAAACAACGATTTAACACCTTGTAGAAAGTTCTCGTTCTCGATCCGTCACGACTTTATAAACAATATAGCACACGGTAAGCAGGAAGTTGTTCTGAAGAAAATAATAAACAATCTATTGAAGACGATAAAACTACTATCTTTATTGAATGGGGTAAGTATTGGAATTCCTTGGCAAATGAAAACCGTTTTCTGAGATTACCATCACATAAGATACACACGCTACTTAAGTCGATTAAAACTGAAACGCTGCTTAAGTCGATTAAAACTGAAACACTGCTTAAGTCGATTAAAGCTGAAACTGACTATTGAAACTAATAAAGATACAGATAAAGAATGATCACAATAAGAAATTGGAAACAAAAGATAAAATACTGCTAATGAAAGAACAATAAAATCGGTGAGAATAACTTCGGTGTGTCTATTACAGATCTGAGTGATAAGATCAATGGAAAGGAAGCTAAAACCGTTGAAACTTAGATATTACTAGAAATTGTGTAAAGTGATTGATTAAACTAAACCAAATTTGAAATAATTTGTTGAACGACTTGTT